TGCAATTCATTCTCCCAGGTCTCCTTTTCAAATAGAAACTGTGCCATGAGTTTTAGATACTCCTCACGTGTTGCTACGCGGTCCTCTGTCTCGCGTTTCAACTTTATTTCAAGGGCTTCTATCCTGCTGGCCTCAAGGTAATATCCAGCCTTTAGCAGCAGTGCTATTTTAGCTAGCTGTTTGTAGCTTGACTTCTTTATGGCTGTAGAAGTGACACTGTCTGCCACTTCCTGAAGTTTGTCCAATAAATCTGTTGAGTTCATGCAGTCCACCTGGTCACCATATGGAGATAAGGAATCTGTGAGCAGCTCCAAAGCTGTCTCAAGCCAGTCCTTCTTAACATCACAAGGAGCAGGAGAATTAGCATGTTCAGCTTTTGTTGAATCTGCCATGGTTTTATTTACTGTTCAGCAAAACCTATCTGGTTAAACCGTTGCAATCTTAGAGTTTTTCAACAGATAAATGTTTGTATTTAAGCGAGCAGTGAGTTTCACACACCATTTAGCTCTGAGTTCCATCAACAGTACTGTTATAAGCCAACTTTTCAATAATTGGGCACCTGTTTTTAGGTTTTACCCGATGAATATTATAAGTAAATGCTTCCTGTGGCAGTGTCACTTAATATGAGCTTAATTCTAACAGATACAATGAACCAGGCTATTTCAGTGTTTATTTACTCCAATGCACTTAAAATTAATAAACCTGCAATATTTTCTAAAAAGTCGGACAGCAACTTTGTAGTTTTAAACGCTCTTTAAGCAGTTTAATTTCCCAGAATTTGTTATTTAAAACAGTAACTCATAAACCAAGCTTGATTAACATTTGTATTTACCCACATGCGTCTTTTTAGAAATAAAATGAAAAACGAGTTTGTAGCTCTCAGTTCTGAAAAACTGTTATACTCTTTTTCAACAGCAGGTGGTGGTACAAGCTTACTTTTACCATTAGGAGTCACTGATGACTTCCTCTGAACCATCCTGTTGACATCCAGTCATTAGCTGTTAGCTTAGATTAGCAACGGACAAACCTAGTCCAAATCAGCATTTATAGACGGATTTAAAGCTTGAACGTGGCGTCGCTTCAAAAGCACACTCTTTAGGCATAAACTCATCAGTTTATCGGTGGATTTCAGGGCTTTATTCAGCTGTTTTAACCACTAAGGAAGACTCTGTTTAAAAATGAGCTTCATTTCCGGGGTCACGTGACTTTACAGACACGTGGACATCGGAGTGGGCTTTATGCACTGACGCCAGAGAGTGGACGTACACGGCGTTACGTCACCAGCTTCTCGGCAAATCAGAACATTTCAAATAGCGGTCCTTGACCAATCTTAGCTCGTGTGTACTTGCCTTAAGCTAGCTGTTAGCTTCAACAGTCCGGCCACAATATCGCCCATTAACGCTTTGAAAATGCACAAATTACCTGTGTAAAGTAGCGATTCAGCATAGAAGCAGCTTTCTGAGTTGGCGCTCAGTTTCACAGACAGCGTCTCACCATTTAAAACACGACTCGTTCGAGTCCAATAATCAGAACCAGGTCAGACCGTAGAACCCCCGGTCATGAAAGAGTTCCAAACAGAATGATGCGTCTTTCTCTCTGCTTACAGCTTAATCACTTACACAGAATGACAATTTCCAGCTTCAAAATGAGCATCAACACAATGTTGTATCTTTCTGAACACCACAGCCATGAAATATGTCTTTACCAAGGTCAAACCCTGGACTTTTATATGCCAACATGAAGCGTTTTTCCACAATATCTCATGTCACACATAATTTATCTCTTCAGAAACGCGTACGAGCCACCATTTATGTAGTGAGCTAGCTGTTAGCTTCACTAGTAGGTGGTGGTGCAAGCTAATTCCCCGTACAAGCCACCATTTATCTAGTGATGTAGGGACAGCTTTCGCTGTAACATACTACTAATTAATTATTCTTAAAGCTAGTTCAAGCATAAAGAATATTGTTTAATTACAACAGATTCTTTCTTTTTCGAGTTAAATTTCTGCCATGTGACCAAGATAACTTGTTGATTGGAGTGTTAATTAGTGACATAAGACGCCATTTATCTTTGACCCATCAGAATAAATGCGGTCATTTATTTAACAGAATCAAAATTTAACATCAAACATGTACACATTGATTTGCTGATCTGTTTCTGATTAATAAACTTGGCACGATTTACTAAACAAGACAACAGAAGATTACTGATTGAGACTGATTCATCTCTGAAGGCATCTAGCTTGATTTACTGGCGAATTGAAGTTTAAAGAGAAGGGATAGATTTAAAGAGGAGGTTTAGATGGATGAAAGTTATGTGTTGAACCAGAAAATGACACCCTTCCTCCGAATCCAGCTCAGCCCTCAGGTACACTTCAGGGTGTGCAACGACTTTGTTACCTTAGCAGAGGATACATCCACTCCGGAACAGAGGTCCATTGGCACGCTCCCTTTTCAGCGTCTCTGGTCAGAGTGGCTGGGGTCGTCAGAAGTCGTGACAAAGTACTCAGTTCAACAGAATACGCTTCCTTAGAAGTTGAACATTTACTGCTCGGGTTGAGTCACAGCCGAGGCAGGCTGTGACTACGTTGGAATGGACGGACCCTTGGCACATGGTTAAATCCATCAGCTATTTTGTTCAACTGTAAGACTCCATCAGACTGAGTCTCATCTTCGACTGAAAGTTCCAGGAAGACTGGAAAGCCTCGGAAGACTGGAATAGACTCGAAAGACTGCATAGTTCCAACAAGTGTTGACTTTTAAAGGGTATCCACTTCCTGTCACTTGGTACTTCCTGATTGGTTGAAACAACCAGCAGGGGTGTAGTTTTAGTGATGCCAGAGGGTTATTAGAAGTCAGGAGACAGCAGAAATGTTTTAAGAACGGTTAGTACAGACAGAGAAATATTTTGAAAAAATGAGAGAATGCAGGTGCCAGCCAGTTCTTGTTTACTGTCTGAGAGTTTTAAAACAAGGCACTTCGTTCTCATAACTTGTCTCTGACTTTCGACCGACATCAGGTCCACTCCTCACACAGACAGAAGAGTGAATGCACACTTACTTTGTAAATAGACATTTAACTGTATGATCCAAGTCTAATGAGGTTTAAAAATCATTAATACTGTTTCACAGTTGATTTAAATGAGTGGTTTACTTCAACATTTAGAAATGGTATGAACTAAACACACTTTTGATTATCAAGATATTGTAAAATAGTTACTGATAATATAAATAAGAAGAGTGTTCTTTCAATTGATTAATTCAGGATACAATTAAATAGTCTCTTGATGAGATAATTTGTATTTCTGGATTCAAATCAATGAAATAACAGTTCCTGTCCCCTGAAGGTCCTCAGAGACAGATTGATGTCGGAGGTCTAGTTCACTACATAACTATAGACTGTAAAGTTCATATTCATGATGTTTTTTCATTTCAGCTTGAAAACTGCAGGACTACAGGAACTCAACAAAAGCTGGAGCTGGTCTGTCTGTGGCCTCTCAGGAACGTGCACGTCACACACACAACCTTGGCCTAATGATGTGAGTATTTCTATTGTAAACTTTTATTTTTTCATTTACCCTTTATTTATACAGGTAGTCTCATTGAGTCATGAGAACTCATTTTCATGAGAGACCTGTTTAGGAGCAGATGGTGGGGGTTAAGTGCCTTGCTCAGGGGCCCAGAGTGGGGCCAATTAGGGTGGAGGCAGGTGTGGGTGTTTCACCTTTTCCACTACATTTTGATGTTGACGGTACCAGGAGTTGAACCTGCGACTTTCCGATCACAGGCCCATCTTCTAACCTCTGTGCCACCACTCCCCCACATAACATCATATCATAATGGTCATGGCCATATAAAAATCTCACTGTTTTCCTTTCAGATGTGTTAAACAGCTACTGGTCCCCCTGATGTTTACAGGGGGCTGTGGTTAGTGGATGAAAAGCCTGGCATGAACAAGATGATACTGGAGATCATCATTCGACACGAGCTACCACCTTCTAACTGTGAAGAACAACTGCAGCTCAGTGATTCCCTCAAGGCTCAGTGAAGGTGCTGAGAGCTGCAGAGGCTGATTCATGGAGCTTCAACACAGCAACCTCCAAACATGTCCACCCTCACATACATCGTCCATGAAGAGACTGGACCAGAGCAGGCAGCGCAAGATAATAAGACAGTGATAACAACAACAACAATAGACATTCACAAATGATTCATACTAATTTAAGTTTTTTTATTGTTTGTTTGTTTTACAATTGAAAACAGTTTGTTATCCACTGTTGTCATCACTCTTTGTTAAAATCCAGGTCTCTCTTGTAAATGAGTCCTATTGGATTAATGGGACTAACCTGTGTCAATAAAGGGTGAATGAATATAAATATCTACATAATGATTTATTCAACCTTTTATTTATGCAGGTTGGCTTCATTGAGCCACAAGGACTCATTTACAAGAGACCTGCTCCAGACAGAACAGTAAACAATGGCAATGATAAACTACAGTAAAAATGATAGAGATGATATGTATATATATATTTATAATGAGAT